CATTTTTTACGCAATAAAACATGTCTGATTGCTGCGATTTTCGAACCCAGGGATTAACTGATTACGAGCGCCGCCTCTACCAACGCAGCCACAGCGTAAGAAGTTGCTATTTGAAGTTAGGTATCAGGTAATAATTCAGCACAATTCAATCGCAATTTGGATTCTTCGAATAGAAAAGAATACACGCATTTGAATATATGTGTGCACACGCATAGGAATAATGCGTGCGCGTGGCGCTGCTGACATGTGATTTTGCAAATTGGCCAAATAAATACAAAAGAAGCTCTTAAGACGTTCGAGATATAAATTATTTACTGCATTTCAAGAATGTTTTTATTCGATAACAATTAAATGCGAATAGTTATCGAATATTTGAAAAAAACTTGACCTGCGCGTGCTATACACGGACCTACAAGTCTCTAGCTCTTATAGATGCTGAGGTCAACGCGTTCACACATACGGACAGACGAACAGACAGACAGACAGACGGACAGGGCCAAATCGATTCAGCTTGTCGTCTTCATCAAGAATATACATATATACTTTATGGGGTCTGTCACGCCTCCTTCTGCCTGTTACATACATTTGCACAAAACCATTATACTCTGATTTCCCATTTTCAATGGGATCAGGGTATAAAAAATGTACAAGCTTATCTTTTTTCAGATAACTCATCCCATTTCCTTATTATGGATTAGTATCAGTTCAGAAAAAATTCGCAAAAATAAACCGAAAACTATGAACATATCGCAGGCTATTTAACTAGAAATGCAGATTGACCCTTAATAACAAACTGTAACCAAATATTTGTTAAACCCATTCGTAGCCACTTCTGGGGAACTACATTAATACCCAGCACTCACATAATGCAGAGGTTTCAATCGAAACTGCTAAGAAAATTAGTAAACATACAAATTACTTGGATGTCAACATAACAGTCAGAAGTACATACGTACGAAGACTAAAACGATTACACCCTCGAGATATTTCCTTCAGGTTGATTTAAACGGAATTACTTACTACATTTACAACTTTTGCAATCCCGCCCACCACTATTGTCATTAAAGAAAGTTGAAGGATAAAAAAAATGACATTGAATGCCGGAGTCAGTGCTTGCAGTGTTTGTCCATTAAGAGTATCGCTTTTCCTCCATATCGATTCGCTCTTACTATTCGCTATCCAAATGCTTAAGTGCTACTGAAATTGCCTTCCTTTATCTCAGTTCTTAATAAAAATTTAATATACCTTATTGCCGCCTGTAGGTGGCTGTATATTGTATATATCTGTATATTCCACATTCAAAGTGTCAATATTGCACTAATGGAACTTACTTAATCCTCATTTTTTATTACAGTTAGATCCTTATGAATTATTTCATTATTTATAGGCTTGATTTTTTGATGTAGAGGAGCTGGAATTTTAATTGGAAATTGGAAATTTAATTTTAAAAAATGTTCTATCCTGTGCCCCTTTTCCCCTTTGCCCCTTTGTGGACATGTTCATGGTAATGAGTTATTGTGCAAGGTGATTTTATCGAAATTATTAAATCGAAATTCATACTACCTTATTGCGACAAAACATTTTTATGAATTATTTAGCCTTTCTGTGTTTTAGTAATGATCTTAAAGATTTATAGATAAATCCATTTCTATTCCCGATGATCTACATTATTATACTTTAGAGGTTTTAATATTACACCTTTTGGAATTATTTTTTCTATAACATTTTAAACCGCATTCTGCAAAAATTTTCCTTTAGATCGCCTTGAGCCTGCTTCTAATAAGCCACGGTTGTACTCAAGACTCTTTCTAATTTGAAATAATTTGAATTAAATATTTTTGAAAGTTATAAGAGTTTAGTTCGCTTACTTATGAAAATAGTCCGAAATATTCATTTAAAAAAACGTTTCTTTAAGATGAACATTTTTAATATGTGTGTATAATACAATGAAAAATAAGCAGCAAGTACAGGGACTCGCTGGACTCGCTGTTTCTTATCGATCAATCAGCTTAGATTCAGGAGCAGAGTGTTCATTAATGAGAAATCGGCTTACAAAAAAGCGATGTGGTAAAAAAGTAATGCACTTAGCCTCAAAGCTATTGGAATATCAATCGTTTATAGCACAATACAAATCGAAAATTATGTTTTGAGATCGACGTGTTCGGATATACGGACAAACGGACGGATGGACGGTCAGGTAGACGGCCTTAACCGACTCAGCTCGTTTCCCTGACCAACATATACATATATACATCATGGAATATTGTACTCTGTAGAATATTCATAATTCCATGCCTCCCTCGGCCTGTTATCTTAACAAAAGGACAAAATATTTGTTTGTAAAATCATATTGATAAAAATGTTAATTTATTTAGTGAAAATTTGAATGTAAAAAGTATGTATATTTGGGTAGCTTTGTCACCAAAAAAGGAAACAAAAAGTTTATTTGGCAATATAATGAATTACTAATAGATGGAAAACTATATCGTGTATATCTTTCACGAAGGCATGCAATTTATCTGAATGGATGCGTCGGAGAAATACTTATTATTAGGACAGATAGGCTTGTCGATAATTATCTCAGTATTGTGTAATTCTGTTTAAGTGTGATGTAAGTGAGCATTAAAATCGAAGGCGACTCTGACGAGGTTGCCAGATCAGTGGGCTCTGAGAACGTAGTAAAAAAGTATGTAGAGTGATTTTACCAGAAATGAGGGAAGCAGGTGCAAGGAAGCGCTGCACTTAGACGATATAAGATAGAATTGAAATGCTAAATATTTTAGGTTAACCCAAATATTTATAATGTTTGGTAAATCAATAGAGGAGGTCAACAGAAAGTTAGTTGCTCAGTTGCTGAGTTTCTAAATCTGCTGATTTGCCACGTACCAGATATTTGTAATGCTTTTTGTTTATCATATATATACGCCGGTTTGATAGTGTCTAAGAGTTGCAGAATAGTTCGGTTAAAAAGCTTAACCACCAACTATGCAATAAATAGATAGGATGTTAGGATTATTGGGTCCCACTCAGTTTCGAATTTACTTCCCCTTACTTTCAGCTTCAACCCCCTTACTTTCAGCTTCAACCGGTGTGGTCGATCCCTAAATTATGTCCCAATTTTGCAATCTCTGAAATACATCTTTATATAAATATGTATGTATGTGCTGAAAATCAAATTCGTATATCTCAAGGTCCCATGTCTTCTTTTCTGAGAAAAGAGTACAGCAAAATCATGAAGGCTTGTCGTGCTCATACATTATTTTAATGTTTTCATTATTATTATGGGAAGGGTATAAAAGCGTTAATTAAAAAAAACAAATACTTTTTTGGGATGAGTAGGTACTCACACTTACCGCCCATTTTTCACATATATACAGTTTGTCAAGATACTCTTTACGCACTGAAAAAATACAAATTTTTTCTTTACATATAAATTTAAGACTTTTTATTCAACATAATGTTTTTTTTAATGCTTACCTGTTTAATAATATTTATTGAGTTAAATTATAAAAAAGATAGCAATACAAAAAATGTGTACCAAACTAAACAACTAAAACTAAAATCACCGCTGGAAGCAGCGGTCTCTTTCGTGCAACTCTTGAAGAGTACCTATGCCGTAATATGGCCGGGCTTACTGTATCATGTACTACATCTATGTAACATTCTTCCTTAGGCTTCCTTGGGTCCATGGCAAGTATCTCTTCTGATATTTGCGGGTTTTGGTCAACAAATTTTCACAGCCATATTGAAAGAAATAAAAAAAACATGAGCTATGAGACGGAAAGGGTAAAGAATCGTTCTTTCGACGAATCATATCAAAACAGAATTGAAAAACGTAAAATGTAAAGCTGTCAAGAAACAGCTTAAAGAGGAGTACTTTTAGATTTTGTTGTTTATTTTGTTACACATTTTTAATTTAGCACTCTTTTTTTATAATTTTATTTAGACCTTATTGTTAAGCAATAAAGCATTAAAAAATTTATCAAATTAAATAAAAGGTGATTAATTTTGAATCTAATGTCAAAAATTGTTTTTTTTTTTCAGTGTATAAATAGTTTCTTGATAGACTGTAAGTATCTATTGGCTTGTGTGCAAAACTCTAACTGACTTTTAAATTGTAAAAATCTACAATTATATGTTTTTACAATTTCAGAAATTGTGCTGAGCAGATATTCCAAGCATTCCTCGCTTGTTTTATACACATGCACGCAGAAGAACGCGTTCTGGTTACAGAGCAGTTCCAGTATGAGCTATTGTGGAATGAATTGTTGAATAATTTTTCTTCTAGATGGACTTTCCTAATCAGAGCGTGATAATGACATTCAAATGTATTTACTTGTTAGGTCGCAAGTCGCTAGTATTTGAATGGCAATACCGATTTCCCCAAAATCGCAAAAAACTTATTTCAAATTATTTAAAAAAATGAATATATTTAAAAATATGAATGTAATTATAACGCTCGGAAAGTTGTACTAAAAAATCGATCAAAAACAAGTTATTCAACAATTAAGATCTTATCATTATACCCATGCTGCAGACAGAGCGCAGCCGCTGCAAAGCACGTGCTAATGTGCTCGTCTGCAAATGTGAATGCAATGTTTGCTGTGTGGGTGTTAAAGAAGCATAGTTTAAGGTTTAATAATTTGTTTTCCAATTTTAAAACATAAAATATGGAACAGTTTATAAGCCATGACACAATGACACAAAAATTTCTAATAATCAATGAAAATTAACTTGGTTTGAACCAATTTGTGTATCTGCAATCGTATGTGATCAATTAAATTTTATAATCATTTGAACACATTTAAGTTTTCAGTTTATTGTTTAATACATTGACCTATTAATATATACACTTATTGCTAATAATTATTTTTTTGAAGGGTATAGCTTATCCTAGCATATAAAGCCAAAATTTCATTTTATGAAATTAAAGTTTAAAATAGCATTATCATTTTAAAAAATTTATTGTATTAGAAAATACACACATAACTGAATTGAGTACACATTTTTAGAACCGAAAGAATGTAATGATAAGATGCTTTTACCATGCTCTACCTTGCAATGGTAAGTAGCCTCCACATTGTTGTTGATGACCATTCGAAATAAAATTATTTTGGTTTCGATAGGCCATAGCTAAACTATTGGACATTAGAGCATTATTGCAGGGTTGTTGTAACATAGAAGCATTGGAACCTCCAACTGTCCCACTGTAACTTGCTATCAGAGAAGAAGATGTGTCAGGTGAATGAGAGTTAGGCGCATCTCCAGGGATCAGATTTAGGACACTTGGTACGTTGCTTGCAACTGAAGTTGTTCCAGCTACCCCATTTGCATTGCCATTACTATTATTGCTGTTGTTGCCAGACGTTGTAGAGCTGTTAGTATGCGTTTGCGGTTGTACTGAACTGCTTGCTCCAGGGCATGGTTTACCATCCTTTACTAAAACTGGAACAGCAACGCGCCTTGGCGAGCTTGCAGACTATTGAAAAATTAAAAAAGAAAATGTATTGGTTTAAAATGTAAAAGGAATATTTTGTAATATTTCAATTGCGAGACAAATTTCACAAATTAGCAACATTTTTAGACTTTAAATTTTAGACATTAAATTTCAGACCTTAATTCAATTATTTTGTACTATTTTTAAACATATTTTTATTTTTGCATGTTTATTTTCTCGAGTTATTTTCCTATGAAGTAAATAGCATACAAAAACAAGTAAGAAAGCTCTAGTCGGGGTGCCCGACTTGGAGATACTGATCCCAGTCGTATATGCGTTTTTTAATATTTTCCATAGTTTGTATCGAGTATTTAAAAAAAAAAGAAATCGATATTACGAAACCAGGATTCGAACCCACTATTTTTATGCAACTCTAATAACACTGATTTCCCATTTTCAATGGGATCAGGGTATAAAAAAATATGTTTATTAAATACCTACGGTTATCCAAAATTGTACTTGCTTTTTCAATTTTCTTTATTTTAATAATATTTAATTCAAAGTTTGTTTTTTAACACGGCGATTGGAATTGTCTTCGCACAATACCCGGTGGAATACTCTATTCAATTTGTGTTAAAATTCCATTGCAAATTTTATTTAATATTTTTTTTAATGCCTGTATAGTTAACTCTTTATTTAAAAAAAGTTGACGATAAAACAGTTTTAAATGCTTTCCGAAAAAAAAACAACAAGGAAGATTGTTCTAGTTAGGAATGACTAAGCCCTACGTAAACTTGCAATTATTGAAAATTGCTCAGTAATCTGAGCAGTGAATTTAGGTTTTTTAATTAATAATTAAGGTTCTAAAGAAATATAAGCTTTTACTTTAAATAGAATATAAATTTAAGATTTAAAATTTCTTGCTACATAACTGTTACGAGATCGTTTTGGACAATTAGATAGCAGACGGACAGCTTGTCATCCTGATCAAGAATTATTTAATTTAATTGGCTATTTCATTTAGGGGGCCTGTCACACCTTCACCATTTCGCCCATTAATTAACATTATCATATATTTTATAATTTAAAAATTAAAATCTTTAATATATTTTGCGGAATAGATTTAGTAAAATATTTAGATAATTACCTGATTGTGCTGATTTTGTTCTGCCATTGCCTTTTCTTTCGCTTGTCGTTTGCACTTATACCGATGGTTTTGAAACCAAATTTTTACCTGAAGTTATGAATGTACGAATGTTCGAATAAATAACTATAAAATTGTTTATTGTTGTTAAAAACTATAGTATATCGCATAATTGTTGTATAATACATATTTAAGAAACGCACGTATTTTTTGAAAGCAAATAAAAGCATTGCAATACGTCTCCGATTGCATAACAATAATAATAATATTATTATTATTTTGTACATTTATCTGTAGAGGAGGTCAATAGTGATGGTCCTGCAAATCTTAGTGAACCCAGATCAAAAAAAGGAAGAAGATTTTGTTTTTCCTAATTTGTCTCTCCATTGAGAGCATACCAAAAATATCTACTTTGACAACAAAAAGCAAACATGGATATATTGACGATAATTGTGGTCATGGCGAGTTGAAAAAAAAATCGAGATCTTCCATAGTGTTAGAGCTTTAAACTATAAAAGCAATCGCGTTACTATTGACCTCTTCTATCGATGCTCCAAACAACATTTTCAGTCAAAAAATGTATATTCTACATTTCTACAGTTAGAGTTTAAAATTGATATATATATATATATATATATATATTGATATATATATATATATATAACTCTTGAGGGCTTGGAAAATCGGTAACCCATATCTAAAGTTTTGAAGCTGGCAGAGTTCAGACTTACTTGGTTTTATGTTTATATGTCGGAGGTTGTCTACATGAATATGGAATACATATTTTTTAAGTCTGTAGACCCAATACCGCTAGTAATTTAAAAGAATTTATATATAATAGAATACAGTCATCCCCAATTTCCTGTACCGTCAATATATAGAGGATGTCTACATAATGTATGTACCAAATGTGGGGATCTATATCTAAAACTGTGGAAGAAATAGTTTTACGGGCTTGGTCATCCCTCAATAGGCGTAGACACACATATACAGTATACATTTTTATTTGGGGGTTGCCTACACATATATACATTCCAAGTCCAAAATTTCCGTTTCCTTACTACTTTATGTAATAACCTTTCTGTTTCAAAATATATAGTATACAAAAATATGAGCATTTGCAAAACTGGGGATATAATAGTTCTATGACTGCTTAATTATTTGTGGATCATTCAGATAGGTGGACAATGCGCAAGGCCAATTTACTTCGTGAACGGGTACCCTACATTGTTCAGTAGTCGATTGCAGTCGATGCATTGTTTTTCAGTTTCTTTATGCTAAGCATTTATTACCCAAAAACTAACAACATTTTATTATTTTGAAGCAATCATTAAACCTATATACATATTTGTGGTTTTCATCTGAAAATAGGCAATTCATTCTTAAATAGTATATGCAATTGTTTAAATATATATATATGTAGGTATAAAGTATTTATAAGAAGAATGTGTATTCCGCTTGATGAGTTAGATTATTTTACTACACAGAGCGTTTTTTCATTGAACACAATACGAACAACCTTTTATAGGAAAGAGCGTGTTCAAACAATGAGTATATTTCAATACAAAAGTTAGGGTGAGTTTAAATATATTTTTCCCCATTGTTCATTAATGCGTTTTTATCTTTCAAAAACATGCCACTGTTGTTCGCATACTTATTTCAATGTGCTCTAGAGATGCTTTATTCTAAGGTAATCAGCACTCCTGTTTAGGTGGGTAGGCATTGTATGAAATTTCCAGATAATAAAATTCAAGGGTGACAATGCACAATTCAAATATTTTTTATTGTTATAACACGTCACACCCCATATCTATTGTTAGTAAAGTAATTGCTTAACCTAATGACAATTAAATTATATTTAAAGTGTAAGGCTCTGCCATTCGCCATTCCCATCCCGGTATATTTTTAGCAACATAAACATTGTCTTATCAATTAAATTGCATTGCCTTCATCTGAAATGTTTTACCTCTTCATAAGCATGTGCTACCAGAAATAATATTACTTTTTAGCTGCTATGATATACTTTGCATATGTATTTTTTAGAGTTTTGTGTGAATTCTTTGAAGAGACTACAAAAAGATTTTGACTGAAAAAAATCATATAATAAATAAATGAATATATGAAAATAATAAAAATAATAAATATGAAGTAAGAAAGCTCTAGTCGGGGTGCCCGATTAGGAGATACCCTGATCAAATTCCTATCTGTTTTTTAATATTTTCAATAAGTGCATCGAGAATAAAAAAAAAAAAACAAATAAAAACCGACATACCGACACTAGCATTCGAACCAACATTGCCTACGCAACGCGCAACAACTCTACCAACACCGGCGGAACGAAAAGCAAAAAAGTCACTTCGCCGCCTGGAGTCAAACCCAGAGCTTGACGGCAACGAGCCCCGTACCTTCGAAAGTCGCCATTGCACAGCTTACGTAAGAATTTGCATCGTAATTTAGATTTTTGGAATAGAAGAGAATGCACGCATTTGAATGTAGGGCCTTGCTTGACATGTTCTTTTGCGTATAGGTCAAACGTTTAGTTTAATAATACACACTGGATTTTAATGAAAATTTTTCAGCATATGATCTGCATATGGTATAAATGGTATAAATGCAAACTTCTTTACTTATTGGCCATATTTCCAACTGAACTTAAATTTTAAGAATTTGGGGAAATTGAGAGCAAGTATCCAAAATCGAACACAAATCAAAATTGAATAAAAATACATAAAACAAGAAAGCTCTAGTCGGGGTGCCCGACTAGGCGAGACCCTGATATTAGTCCTATCTGCGTTTTTGAATATTTTCAATAGTTTGTATCGAGTATTAATAAAAAAAAAAATATAAACCAACATTAGGACAACAAAATTCGAACCCATTCTACACAACGTGCATCAATTCTGCCAACACCGCCACTTCATAATTAAAAAAAAAACAATAAAAAGCAACAAAAAAAGGCTCGAAACTAGGGATTACCGCTTACGAGCGCCGCCTCTACCAACACTGCCACTGCAATTTACAATAAGTTGCAAATTGGAAATTGTGAATGTTTGTGTGCACACTTATAGGAAAAATGCCTGCGCTTGGCGCTGTTTGACATGTGCTTTTGCAAATTGGCCAAACGTTTTGCTTAATAACTTCTTTTTTACTTAATAGATTTTAATACAATTTGCAGCATATGATCTAAATATTTGATTGGAGTAATTGTCAGCTTAGCAAAAATGCAACCTTATTTACATATTGGCCCTATTTTCAACTGTATTTAAATATAAAGGATTTGAGGAAATTTGGAGCCATTATCCAAAATATAACTAAAATCAAAATTATAAAAAATGTACATAATTTACTAAAAAAAATTGGAGGGTCTATGTATGTATATGTATGTATATATTTATTTTATAGAAAATACATGATTAACACAACGCCAACGCAGACTTACCTATAAAATTATGGGGTATTATTAATCTAAATTGAAATCATAGTTTCGGCAAAAAAAAAACAATTGACCCATGTATTACTTTGAAATAGAAACTGAAATGAAACGCCTATAACAATGTTTGATTTTATCGATTCTAATTTGGCTTGGAGCATAAAAAAAGTTAGTTGCAAATAATTTTCACGATTCTTCTAAACCAAATCTAAACTCAAATTTTTTTTGCGGGAGGGCTATTTGCCTCTTTAACTGATTAGTAGTTTGAATAATAATAATCTATTTGATATATGATTTATATATTACAATAATAGAATTGTAAAAATATCAGATAAAATATTTTTTTATAGTTATATTGAATCACTTACTTGTGTGGGCGTCAAGTGAATAAGACTTGCTAAATGTTCCCGTTCGGGTGCTGACAAATATCGTTGTTGCTTAAATCTTCTCTCAAGCTCATAAACCTTTAAGATACATAATTAAAAATAAGTTTTTTTTAAAACTTTTTAAGTCTTTAGTCGGAGGTCTTAACTTTAAATGGAAATTTAGCATCTTATTAAATATTAAATATTAGCATCTCATAAATACATGTACGTATATATATATATATATATATATATATATATATATGTACATGTATTTATATATATATATATGAGGATCTTAGCACTTCTCCAAATGTGTCCATCCCCAACTTCTAATAATTTTACTTTATTTCTAGGCAGCATTTACCGGCATATATGTATATATATATGTATAAGGATGACAAAAAAAAAATATATATATCAATATATATAGAAGTTGGGGATGGACACATTTGGAGAAGTGCTAAGATCCTCATTGATATATTTCTTTATTTACATATATGCATATATATACCACATAGATTTTGAATAATATATGATTATTTACCAATTTCAATAACTTCGAAATATAAAGTTTGTTATATTTTTAGATGTTTAAATATATATAATTATATATATATATATAAATGTTGGGGGCTTAGGCCTGCCTTGATATGCCATATGCCATAGACATAGATTTTTGCGGTTGCCACTCCCATTATATATTTTTTACCTTGAGTTGTCAACGCGAGTATATGTTGGACTTTAAATAATAGCGTTTTAGACATACCACATATATTTCCTTATTTGAGAATTTTTTAAAATGTATCAGACGCAGTATATATTCCAAATTTTAAGTCTCTAGCTTCAATAGCGGCGAAAGTTTTATGTTCATATAGACAGACAGACAGATAGCAAGACGGATGTTGCACAAAACCATTATACTCTTTCACTCCGTGAATGAGTATAATTTTATCAATAACTTATTCTATCTTGTTTTAGTTTAAAAGGTACGTGAACTAGTCATACAAAAAATTGGGTACATATATAGGCATATGTGTTTCACACATACAAAGATCTATTTATGCCAGACAAATACAATAAAATGCAATTCAACTATTAATAAAGGTTTAATGAAAAAGAATTTGATATTTACAATACACTTCAATACTTTACTCATCAACAAAAATAAATACCTTTTTGAGAGTATATTTGCATTGTACAAATGTGTGTTTGCATATGTCGCTCAACAAATACTACCGTTGAACATACTACATTCAAATATACACACAATTGTATGTGAGCATACATATGTATATGTATATGCATGTATGTATAAACATACATATATGTATATTTATTTTTTCTTCTGAGGAATACAATTTTGGGCATAACATTATATATAAGTATACATCCTACATATATGAACATATATGCGAATATGGAAACATTTCTTCAATATTCCGCTTTAAACGCCAAATAACAATCGGGCAGTGCAATGTTCCTTTTAGTGTTGAAAGGAATGCAATTAGACAGTTTTATCTAGATTGAACAATCTTTTGCTGTTTAGTATAGTATAAACGGCATTCGACTATATAATCTGTACATTTACAAACGCGTTCTCTCAGATTGCACCAAGTTCATAGAGGTTATATTCACCTATACGTATATATATAAGAGTTGAAAATTAAGTTGTGTTTTCCACATCTCAAGTGGACGAATCAATAAAATTTCAGACGAGAGTACACATGAATAAATATTTCAAATTTAAGGTCTCTAGATTTTTAAAGATATATTTTACTTAACTTAAAACACCTTCCGAAATAAATAAGTATGAAAGCTCTTATCGGGGGTTTCTAACTAGGTGATACCTTTTTTGCAGTCAACTCCATAGCTTCTACGTTATTACGATACTAAGATGCGAACCAACATTCTCTGCGCAACTGCGCATTAACTCTACCAACACTGCCACTTCATAATTAAAAAAAAAAACAAAAACAAGTACCTGCGCGCTGGCCTGGCATTGAACCCCGAACTTCCCGGCAATGAACGGCGCTTCTACCTATACCGCCACTGCACTGATTGGACTAAAACTGTTTAAAATATACAAAAATTGGCCAAATCCAAGTTGCGCCCTAGTGAAAGTGCACATATAGTTTACTCGATCTGTAGAGCTTCTTAACAGTAGCTCAATGGCATAGTATAGAATTCTAGCTCCAACAAGGTACCCATTTGCGACGGCCAAAATGGGTTTGTTTTGTTCACCCGAATTCATAGTTTTAAGGTACTCAAGAGCATATGTGTCCAATTTTAAGTCTCCAGCTGAAATAGCGGCTAAATAGTTTGCGTCTATACATGGTACAAAATGTATGAGTATAAAAATAAATAAATAAATACAAATACTTGAAAATAAATGAAAAAAATTGGAGACTAACTTTAAAAACTAACAAGGTAAAATTTATTAAACTAAATTTCTTTGCGTACTTCATTTTCTATAAATAGAAGAATATAGTAAAGTTATTAAGGACACCATATTTAGTGACAATTAAGTAAGAAAGCTGTAGTCGGAACTAGAAGATGTGCTTTAAGCCCTGCGATCAATTATCTATGAGTATTTTATACATACATATCAAATAGTATATGTACACAAACATATACACACACTCACACATAGTTTGCGCTTGGCCTGTTTTTTTAATAATTTTAAAAAAATATTTCATCTCCATCGGTCTCGAACCCTGGGGTTAGCTCCATACGAGCGAAGAATGTTTTTATTCGATAACAATTAAATGCGAAAAGTTATCGAATATTTCAAACAAACTCGATATGTGCGTGCTATACACGGACCTACAAAAAATTTCAAGTCTCTAGCTCTTATAGATGCTGAGATCCACGCGTTCACACATACGGACAGACAGACGGACAGGGCTCAATCGACTCGGTTTGTCGTCCTGATCAAGAATATATATACTTTATGGGGTCTGCCACGCTTCCTTCTGCCTGATACATACATTTGCACAAAACCATTATACCCTGATTTACCATTTTCAATGGGATCAGGGTATAAAAAAGAGATATTTTATAGAAAATTAATACTGGGGGAAATAAAATCGCAAAATTAGCTTGCTTGACGCCTTTAATTAAATTTGTTTTTGTATTGTATTTTTTTCTGGACTCGTACATCTTCTTGGCCAATCATTCCTAATGATATTTGGGTCGGATCAGTATGAGCGCCATTCAAAAATCTTGACAGTTTGGGTCTGAATCCTCGATTTCGCGGACCTAGCAGGGATTGGGGCATTGTTGTTCTGAAAATGCCAGTTTATATTCTGAAATAACTATTCAAAGTGCAGAAGCTGTTTTTAATTAATCATTATAGCTCATCATATATGGCTAAGATTATGTAAATAAACGTTAATTACATCTGGGACTACGAAACTTAATTTTTTCATCTCTACAAAATACGTACTTTAACTGGGAAAACCGAGTCATATGCACTTGTGCAAAATTTAGGTCTGATTTGCTACGAGTGTTATAAAGTAGAGGTTAAATGTTGTTTTTAGTTTCTGTAGATTATACGCATTGAAAGTAAATCTTTAAGAAAATTTCTGTCCTACCAATTGCCGCCAATAAAGTTTTTTCCAATAGAATTCGTAATTTCCAAGAAAATTAATAATGGATTTCCAATTTTGTCAGATGCTTTCACGATTTTATTTCCATATATTGGAGAATCGAAGTAAGGTTCAATCATTTCTCCCCTAGAGATAAACTTAAACTACTTCGTATTGTAACTTTTATCATAAATATTAATTTCTTAGCCGACCAACTTGAGCGAAATATTCATAGTTGCATTTCGAGGCTATACCCTGATGACGTAAAATAAGTCGAAGTTTTTTCGAGCTATCGAGTTTCTATTGTTATAGACATTGTTCACATATGGGGATAGCCTTTCCAAAAAAAATGAGTTTTAGTGCAATATGAATTTATAAATAAGAAGAAAAAAAAAACAGTTAAGTAAAAAGGCGCTAACATTATGTTACTGAGTACTTCATCTTCATCTATTGATTTACTAAAAACCATGTTTTTTTGTATGCTACTTGAAGCCGTGGCAGATCAGAATATAAAATATCTGCCACAGTTTACTTGTTTTTGGTCGAACATTTTTAAGAGTGTACAGGCGTACATATATGGGTTATTGTAAAAGATAATAGATACAATCTGTGGATAATAAATGCGGATTGATAAGGTTTCTCTTATTCGGGAATCAGCATTTTCTTACTTGTTTTATCTAAGCATATATACAAGCAATGGAAAATAAATGCAGACAAATCGAGGTTTAGGTTATTTCCTAGTCGAGCACAGCTGACTAGACTTTTCTAAATTGTTTTTAATATAAACTTAAACTAAAAGATTTAACTGTGAAACAAGTAATATTACTAAATCATTTTGATATTTATATATATTGTTATGAATTCAAAATAAAAAAAGCTCTGTAAAATCTGAAAAATTAAAAGATTTATAATGTAGAACAAACCTGTGCTTGTGTAAAAAGAACTCTTCTTTTTCGTCTTTGTGCCAATGGAAATTGAAGAGGTTTTGTATCACTAACGCTGCATGCAGCTAACCCAGTCATGTTGCCCATATGACCCATTGATCCACCAGCTGAGGAGCTCATAAGACGCGAAACTGTAATAACACATTCAAAATAAAAATATTTTCATATGACTTTTTTTAAAGGTTCTAAATTTCATATTAGATAAACGACAAATTACACAAACGCGAACACAATATTAACTGGGTAATGTACATTTTAATATAATTTTAAGCTAAAGAACCAATTTGTTCTTGATGATAAAATACTAGAACTAAAACTTTTCTGCCTATCTAAAATCTTTTGTTACGTGTTTATACAGACAGTAAACTGTTTGAGGGTCACCATCTATGATATTCGCTTTATAGCATTTTTTCAATATCAGGAATGTACATACTTATATGGTTTAAAAACGTCATATGCGTAAAAGTGAAAATCATCTTTTCATTTCTTAAATAAACAATGACAACAAAATAATTTAAAATCAATTATTCTCACGCAAACCTTTTTAATTTTTAGAGAAGTGTACAGTGATTGGGTGACTCAGCACAAATTGTCATTTTAAATATCTCTGCTGGTAAAGTAAAGCAAACATTTTCAAGTGTTTAGCATGAACATTTTTCTGGTTTTTTTGTTTATGTTTCGAAGTGTTCACAACAATTTCCTTAATATAAATATATTTTCATATTTGCCTGTGTATATATATATTGAAATATATAACTGATACTATATATTATAAAGTAATATATAATTTTATTCTTTGGAAAATAAAGATAGATAATGGAGTGGATAATGGAGATAACTAATTTTGAAAAATATGTATATATCTTATAGAGAATAAATTGGTAACACTTCGATATAATTTATATTGAGGTCTGGTGTTTTTTAATCAAATTTAAGAGTAAGTCGTACATATTATTGCTTATAGTCTCGTAATGGAAGCACATATTACAAAACTATTTGAGTTTCTGTCTGACAAGTCTGATTATTTGTAGCTCAGCTCCAGTGGAATTCTAATTGGACATTCCTCTCTGGAGTATTATTACTTGTCTATCCTACACATACAAGAGTGTTTCGCATATGCTATATATTGTTATATCCTGAACCAATTAAAAATGAGAAATCAGGCTATAATGGTCTTGTTAAAATGTGCAACAGGTAGATTTAGGTGAGGCAGACCCAACAAGGTATGCATATAAAAGAACTAGAGACTTGATTTTTTTGTGGTCCGTTTATAACATGCGCTTGTCGAATTTGATTCATATAATTGATAACTATGTTTTATTGTGATTGATTAAAATATTATTGAAATGCATTTCTTATATTATATTTTGTACGATTTAAGAGCTAGACTCTGCAAGTTTTGCATTTATGTATGTTTTTTACAATATTGATTTATGTTATATTTTGCATACCCCAAATTTCTTAAGCTGAAGTTCAACTTCAAATAAAGCCAATACGTCAAATAGCTTGCATTTTTGCTAAGCTGACAATTACTCCAATAGAGTATATCAATAAGAAACACACAAGTTATTAAACAAAAAATTTGGCTAATTTGCAAAACCATGTGGCAAGCAGCGCCAATAATGCAGCCCAAGGAAAGCCATCGTGTAAACTACATAGTAAGCAGAGCTCTTGCTTATGCGTGAGTGCGTGCGTTTGTATGTAATAATAAAAGAATCGTAGAATGGTTATAATATCACCTGCTCGCAGGGTTCAGTGTATCAAACACGAAATTTATAGAAGGGTTTCAAGGTTATTCATTTATATCAAATTTTGTATGTCAGATGAGTTCGGCCCCAGGCGATATCGGGCTTTTTTGTTTTTGTCACAGACATATAGTGGCGGTGTTGGTGGAGGTAATGAGTGTTGCCTACTGGAATCGTCTGTTCTGTTTTTTTTTTGTTGTACTAGATACAGACACTGGAAAATATTTAAAAATTCAGATCGGACAAGGTTGTGGGTGCTCCCGACTTAAGCTTTCTTAATTCCTTTTCACTTTGTTTTTGTTTCTTTGGCAATCTTGTCATATGATTGTGAAATTGCAATGTCTACGGCTATAACTTTATTTATTTTGGTATGTTCTTACTAACATAAAAAAATTATAAGAAAACTTTTTTAAAACTTACTTTTAAATAATCGATAAATATATATGTTTTCAAATCAAAAACAAATCGAGCCTTACTTATATCTATTATAACCAATATGTGACATAGTTCACATTATTTGAGGTACTCCACATATCAAGCAGAAAATGTAAAGTCCGCCAAATAACACACAGGTTATAAAGGAAATCCACATGTCAATGATTGGCATGTGTATACGTTTTTTCTATAATTGCATTTATTTCGTTTTTGTATTTTGTATGCATTGCAATTGAATTGTATTTAAATTGTCTGTTGCTACTTTAGTGGCGGGGTGTTGAAGGCGCAGCGTGATGTCGTTAAGAATCAGTTTTAAATCCTGGCGAAGACAATTTGCTTGTTACTATTTGATTTTGGAAAATCGAGTTAATCAATTACGTGAGCGTATACTTTTTTCTGATTTCATGTGCAACTACATCTTATATATATTTTACACAGAAAACGAAAAACACGAACTTGATTAAAACATTAATATCTTTTATATTTATATTATTATAACTAACATTGTTTTTTTGTGATGTTGTTTCATGTTATTTTATTTAATTCAATTGTTTTATTGGTGAGAAATGTTTAATACATATGTATTCATAAAGAGTGTGTGTATTAATATTTTTAATTTGGTTTCTTGTATTACGTACTTGCAAATCTGGGGTCATTTGCCGTTGATCCATACCAGGAAGCCGAGCCTCGCATATCAGTGTAATGCCCAGCCAACGATAAGTTATCTGTCGGTCCACAATAGCTTTGAACTCCTGGACTATGGTACAACGATCCCATAGCGTACGGATTCGCCATTGCTGAAGTACTTACTGTCCCCGGTGAATTAATACTACTACCACTAGAATTAGATCTGGAAAACATTTAACGTACTAAGTTAGAACATTTGAATTATTGGCGTATTCTAAATAGTCACAATAAATATTTTGTATATAATCTAAGCACTTAAGCTTTTCCGAAATGGTATTGTAGCATTTATTTATACGCTTACAGCAAATATAAGCGTCTAGTTGGATTACAAATAGTTTATTTATGCACTCATAGTAGATCATTTTTATGCATTATCATTATAATCTTATTTCAACAGACTAAAATCACTAAACAGAATCATCCTTTTTACGCGTTTTTCTTGTGATATAATTTCTTGTGATATCAATTCAATTACAATAAAACACCGTTTTCTAACAAAAATGTAATATATTTGATATTTGGGAATATATTTAATAACTCTAATAGGAAAAAAATATGCTCATTTGATTTAAAAATATGTTAGCCCTAAAATACTAAAAGAAATAATAATATAGAAATAATAAAGCAGAAAATATTTTGTGCTTCAAGAGACAATTCTGTGCAGAGCTAATGATGTAATAATTTTAGACTTCGTAGAAATTTGTGAAAACAAATGTTTGTACCCAATTACATACGCATAATTTGTTTTAAGTATTGGACTTACCGAAATGGGGATGGCGGGTTTCCGTTTATTTCCAACTTGCGGTACGATTCCTCTATTGGACTTAAAATGTCAGTCACACTAAACGGTGTTGAGTGGTTATTGTTGAATAGAGTACCTTGATGTTGGCTATGCAAGTTCTGAAGATGTTGAATACTAGACAGGCTGTGGTGGTGATGTGCAACCGCAGCAGCGGCTGCAGCAGAAACCGAGTTTTGAGCCGAGGTGTCGTTTGTATTAGGTTTAGAAAGTGGTTCCAATTGATGCTGATGAGAAGCCGTTGGTGGTATAAGTATTTCTTTTTGAGATAAACTCATAACCAAATCTGCTTCATTACCCAAACTAGTTTCCTCTTCGTCAGGTATTGCTCGAAAGCATCGCCGCTCATTAAATGAATTAATTATATATGACGCTGACATACGAGAAACTTTGGTTTATTCGTCGTTTTCAAAGTTATTGTATCTACAAGTATACAAAAATAAATATAGAGTATATGAGGTGAAACTATTTATTTTATGAATATTAGCTTATTAGCATATACAGACAAGTAAGGTGTAAGTACTTTCGGCAAGAACCTATGTTTTGATATCGAACTAAATTAAAATGTAATAAAAGCGTAAAATGTTAGTGATTTTAAACACAATCGGGTGTAAATCTTTTAATACAGTAGAGGATGTATTTTCATGAAATTATGAATTTAGATTCTGTCCGTCTGTATGAACGCAAAAGCTGGAGAATATAAATTTTAAATGTAGATTCCTGTGTATGACGCAATACGAACTCAAAAATCAATAATAATGCTGTTCTGCTCCCTGTAATGAGTAAGGAGATTTTTATGCTTCTGATTTCTGGTAACTTTTTTATTTCCACCGAATTTGTTAAAAACATTTTTCAAATACTTTGGTAAATACACATATCTGAGAATTTGATTAATAAAGTCTATCGCCATGCTGCGGCTAAAGTGCAGCCGCTTGGTTTTTTTTTATTTTTCAATGAGTGTATCTACATGCGTTACTAGTCTTCTGGCTAGATCATTACTTGATTATTAACCATTTGAGAAACTTGGAGATAGAATAAGACGAATTGAAGTCAATTCGTTATATGGAAAAACGAGGAGCACTGTTGACATGTAGACAAAATTTAACGTTATATACGTAGATATGGTAGACCTTAAGAGTATATATATACTAGATCAGCGCGATGAAATAGTAATATTCTTCTGCACATCTGTACATAAATTGTGTTCTTGTCTAACGTATGAAGTACAACACTATCTATTTTGACCATTACTGCAATTGTCATACTATTGATAAGATCACTATTTTTAATAAAATTTTAACAATTTGATACTATGTAAGCTAGATATACTGAATTTTTATTCTCAATACTTAAGTAATACAGTATATTGGCTTTGCATAATGCCCGTTTTGCAGTCCGTCAGTCTGAGTGCAAACTAAACAAACTATATCTTCTAAAGAAACTAATTTCGATTATTGAGTTACTGTTGACTGTCTCTATTGATACACCACAAAAAATTGGAAGCTATTCCCTGCATTTTTAACAGATTCGCAGTCTTAGCCGTAACATTTACACAGTTGGGTTACTATCAACCCTTCTAAGGATAAATTATATATCCACAGCTACGGGGTTACTGCAAAGTTGTACATATAAAAACTTAAAAGTAAAAACAATTTCCCTTTATTTGTAGTATTTTATAGTGCTTATCTATTTCTGCCAAAATATACTCCGAAACAATACCTGTCATAAATTTAGTTTATCAAAAGAAAAGGTAACTTAAAAATGTAACATGCATTTATCATAGAAGGAATATTGCAATATTATATTTTAAATAAATTAAGTTGTTTTAAGATTAGCACAGGTCATGCAGATTTGATTTTACCTAGTTTGGGATATGTCGACTTATCAGCATTGAGTTTAGTCAATTTAGATTACAAAGCGTTATGTATTTATTAATTATTTCTACTGATGCTCCACCTTTCTCATCTAGTGTATCTCTTCGACATCTAAACAACTTCGAAATACTTATTTAGATTGTGTATATACAAAACACGCTTGTGTTTTCTTATCACAAAACCCATAACTTTTTAACAACAATTTTGGTGCTCTATTTACAAAACGTTGGCAGATATAGTTATGTATATACAGATATAGTTACATATATATATATACAAATAAACGCGACTTCGCATGGCTTGCGCGTATGTGCGAAAAAATTACATGTAGATATGATAATTTGCCAAAGCACGATTTTCTACCGAAATAGATTTTATTTCAAATTTATGCTGCAAAATCTAAGAAACATTTTCAATCTAAGTGTAAAGATTTTAAAATCTTCAAGTTACGCTTAACAAACGAAATCATATGATATATAACTTTTGATTTAGTATCGTAAGAGATCCTTATCTTCATACAAACGGACTGAGTAAAATATAGCTAAATCGACTCGATCAGCCCAACTCTATATATATATACTTATATATGTATATATTTATATATGTATATACTTATATCATGCCTCTTTCAACATACACGCGAATACATAAGTGATTTGAGCTCCGCAGTTATACAGAAACTACGTTAAGGCTCTGCCTAAGGGCTCACTATGGGAAAGTAATATTTATATTTTAGTGTTCAAGTTACGACTAAAAAAATAAATCAAATTATGTTTCTTTTTTATCGATAGTGACCAAAAATACGATGCGTTTTTCGTATAGTATATAGGAATTTGCATTTTAAATTGCAAGTCCCTACTGCGTTCATAAGCACGAACATACTCAACTGACTCACTAACAATATATATGTATACTTTATGGGGTCTGCAAATCCTTCTTTTGCTTGCCACTAATACAAAATGTCCATTTTCGATGCGTTAATTATATAAAAGAAATATAACGAAAACTGGGCTCTTTGTAAAAGATTTCAAGAAAAAATTGTATGTTTTATTTGTATAATTGGATATACATACATACATAATTTCATAAGCCGACGACTATAAATATAAGTACATTCCCAGCATCGACTCGATTAATAATTATTTTCTATAAAAATATTCAAATAATATTAAATACTGAATATGTAATACATACAACTTTTATATATTAAAAACCAAATTTATTTCGAAGCAGTTTTAGATCTTTTATCTGTTTAATCCTTTAATTTCTCAATTATTTGTATACATCAACATTAACATTTTATAAAGCTGACAAAAATGTATGGTATGTATATAAAAATATACAAATATGTTCATCCATTGCACAATATTTGTATATTCACACAGCCATCCAATAAATTTCTTACTTTAATCATTGTTGTGCACTTGTTAATGTGCAATATTCCTTTCAGCATTGTTATAATTTCACAGCTCAAATTTTTAAATGAATAAACTAATGATATTGTATAGTATGATTGATATTTTAGCACCAGCTTTAGCATATCTCTAATCAATTGTTTAGGCCCATTATCTTATTTTGATAAAACACTAGAATATGTAACACGGAATTCGTATTTCTGCTTCACAATATATGTATAGTATGTAAATTTAAAGACATATAAGCCCACGTCAGTGAATTTATTATGAATATCCACTCGACACGATTCCGTCAAATGAAATAAGAGGTCTGAACAGTACTGACGAGTACTCCTCAGATGGCTTCTGGATAGCCCTCGAATAAGTTTTTCCTATTAACGATAACTCTGTACTGTTGGTACTGGCTACACACTTCGTTGAACAAAACAAACATCAAAATCTTGCTTATTCATTTTAATGATACTAACCAATAAGAGAGCAGAGACTACATCCATGGGCTGGAATATGAATACAGAGCTAACTGGCTTGGGACGCTTCAAATAATGCCTGCCCACTTTTAAGTATATTTGTTTCACTCACTCTTTGAAAGTCCATGTGTATTCGTATTGGTTAAAAAGAGATGTTTGTATTTACAGCAATATTCTTTGCAGCGTCACTCTTTTTATGTACGTTCACCAATGGGAAGTGACTATGTTTCAACCCTCGTGCGGCTTGAGGTCGCATTTTTGGAATTAGTTTAGGAATGTTAAATGCATTCTTAAATTGTTAAATTTCCCCTTACTGTTGTGTCAAACAATAGAATTGCTTGCTAAGCTTGTATTTTCACACAACGCAACAATGCTTCCACGTACTTTTTTTATCTCGACGTCGAAGTAATTTGGGACTGGTCTGGGTGGACTGTGCTTATATTATGTATAATAATAAAACGAGTATCTTAGACAAATTTAAGATACGCAACTGAACCATAAAATAAAAGCAGCCAATTATGAAATTTAAATACAATATTGACTCTCATGTGGATATAAAAGTTAAAAAATCAATTTTAAAATAAAAAATAAGTATTTTCCAAAATTAAACCATTTTCGGTAGATTTCGCATTTTGAATGAATTCGATGTATACAAAACAGCGTGTTATTAAAAAAGCACAGAACAATTTTCGATTAAATCTTTCTGCTTTGAGTGACCGATATTAATTAATATTGCCAGTTAGTATTCTCAAGAAATTATTGCTTCGACCTCACATACACTTATCATACTTCAATTCCCAACCCTTTCAATTACGTTTATTTTATGAGTAACAATATAATCATGTCTATAAATGCACAAACAGTGGTAATAAAACTTAGCTTAGTTCTGCTGCTGATGGTATAAACATATGTATATATGTATATGCCAGATTGGACACAATATCCAATACGGAAGAAATCGGAATAGAATCAAAATTTTAGTAACATATATACTCTACCGATAAAGATATCTATATATATTGATGAAAACATTTGTTGGAACTACAAAATCAAGTTAGATCAAAGAACTGTATTATATATATTGCATATAATACATGTGTATGTATTATTTCAATTTTATAAATAAGTGATGACAAGAAAACAAATTTAATATCTAAAAAATGTGGATGAGACTAAGATACAAACCCCAGTACCAGCAACATTTCATATAATACAACAGTACAACATCCTGATAATGTGTCCGAATGGTTCCAAAAATATCAATAAATACTTATGAAAATCAAGATCTACATTAAGGTATCTCCCACACAAATCATTTCATAATGCGTTTATCTCAGGTTTGCAATTGATCCCGCCTTCAACGCAATGATCTTGCAGTCCAGCTATAAACTATTCCGGCCATCCAAATCAAACTCAGTCAAATTTCGTAATCATTTTAGAATTAGATTCAATTTATAAAAGTACAACTATAAAATAAAACATTATTTGTTTAGTTGTTTGCTTACTTCAAAATTTAATTTATTTATTTAATTTATTGGTATTTCTCAGGTAATATAAGTACAATAAGCTTAACCATATTTTTAAATATGTTTATAAATACAATTATTATTTATATTATAATGTAATACCAGTAGTAAACAGGAAAAAATAACAAAGCCAATTTTCTTTGCAGTAATTGTATTTTCGCTTCGGCTTACGAGAAGTCCAAGTCATGTGTAATCATACAGTATCATGACAAATATTTTTTCCATATAAGTCTAAATCTAAATTCATATTAATTTATTTTTTACTACAATTTACAAATATAAATTGGAAAGCAGTTTAACTCATTATTATTTGTCCAATTTCATAATATTGCCAGTCATAAAATAACATGTTGTGGTTTGTTGAAAGGGATGAATGAATAAGTTGACTATATTGTTTATGCCATATATTTTCCAATTATTACAACAAAATAGAAATTGTATATAATGTAAAGATTTTAATTTGGAATATATACCTCTTTGTACTTAATTTATAAATATGTTTAGGATATTATTAGGTCGCGCTTAATCTGAGATTAGTAAATTTTGTTGTACATCAATATCATTACTTATCCCAATTTAGACTTAATATACATAAAATATAAACTAGCCAAATTGTAATGCCCATGGTATTTAGTATTGTAATGCCCATGGTTGTGGTTGATGGCAGACATGTTCCAATAATAAAGATTGTCAAAAATATTTTATCAAGGTCAAAGGTCTTTATCGGTTCATGAAATATTTTGGGCTTAATAGACTACAATTATTTTTATACCTTCAACCCATTGAAAATGGATATCAGGCCATATCATTATTAATATTTGCACGTGACAGTCTTCGTAAAAAAGGCATTTTTATACATACATCCAAATGTGCATTCTTTTCTTTTTTTGACTTGTTGGCTGTTACACTAGTTTTGATTTTTTTCCAGAAGTGAGTCAGTGCGCGTATCCGCGGAGTTATGGGTTCTCAACTCCAGCCAACGTCAAGTTTTTTATAATCATTTATGAAGTTAAATGTGAGTATATGGCTCTAGTGCATAGATGAGAAAGATTCTTCAATGCTTTGGAGCTTATAATGGTGCAATAATAATAATCTGTATGCGATGTTATATCATTTTGTTTATATATACATGTATGTATATTGATTTATTGACTTTTACAGAAAAGGAATGTACTATCTATATCCTTTATTTATATGAGATTGGGATGTTTCGGTTTGATTGATTATTGAGAATTTTTAAATTGTTTGCCATCTTAATCCTTTTTGTTGTCAATTTGCCTGAAATTATGCTGGTGTTGCGCGATTGATTAAGTCCTATTTGACATTTTTACAGATTGACTTAAAATGAAATGAAATAGTACTTCATTTCAAGGGAAAGCTTTGGAGTAAATTTAAAATAAGCTTGATATGTGCTTTTTATGGAGTAACCTACGAATATGAATCGAGCTCTTTTGAGATTGAGAGATGGATAAATAGGGATACTTTCACTTGTTATTGCTCCCTATCAAGAATATATATACCTTATGCCGTATCGTACGCTTCGTTGTATATGTTTTAGGGCCGGGAGTGCTTGACCAGGAGATACCCCGTCTGTTTTTAAATATACTCTATATTTTATACTTAGCATAAGCTTACAAAAATGTTCAAGTTTGATCTTTTTCAATCAAACAAAAAAGAAGAAACGCCGATATTGGGACACCAGGAGTCGTACTAAGATGTTTTCGGGCAGGTGCACCAACACTACCAACACTTCTTCGTTCAATCATAATTCTGATGAAAATTGGCGTTACTTGGCGTGGGGTTTTATAAATAGGCTAAGCGTTTTCTTAAATAACTTCTGTGTTATATAACGGACATATATGAAATATTTCACATATCTTCTTCATATTCTGTTAGAATATAGAATATTCGTTATTTTTGCAACTGATTTTCAATTTAAATAACTTGGCGAAATTTGCAGGCGATATTCAAAATATAACAAAATCCAAAATTGTTTAAGATCTGAAGCACAATTTGGAGACTAGTTCTAAAAATATACGAGATTTTATCAAATGAGAATAGTTTTCTATATTTTGAAACAGAGGACCTACAAACGAGTTAAAGTCTGTATCTATTACATATTCTGAAATCAACGCGTTGATACATACGTACCGATAGACGGGCAGGGCTAAATCGGCTCAGCTGTCCTGATAATGTTAAAACTGTAACAATGTAGTCAATAGCAAACGCAAATTGAACATAAACTATAGGATTGATTGATTGATAGGTTGAGAAAAATCTTCTGGAATTTAAGTTGGTACACAAAGAAATCACAAAATCAGTGACTGCAGCCTTTGCTGACCACCTTTTTTGCTCGATTTATAAACATGCATGTGAAGTGTAACATCAGGGGCTGCTCCTTTAAGGAGCTAGCAGTTAGTAGCTGCTATAATATTCTGAACAAACTGCAAATATCAAAGGTAATTAAGGCAGGTTTCATTCTATATTTAAAGATTTTGAATTTCCAGTATTCTATAAGAGTGTTTTAGCTGTAATAACTATTACTTGTTCGAATATCTACACAGCGTTACGAGAGAACATCGGTATTGGAACATTCTGAGATCTCAGTACACAAAGTGGCATCCAGTGGAAATGGCCTACAACAATATTGCAACTGCTCTGTTCCATTAAAGCCCTGACAGGCCTTCAAGTACTTTCGTCCCCAATTCTATTTATATCGGAACAAGTTTAATTTTATATAACTCCTTAGATCCGCGCATTGAATGACGACTCTCATACACCCTGGCATGGTCTCTCGGTTATGCATAGACTACCATGAGGATCGCTATGAGCGACTGTACACCCGCGTTGAGATAGCCGCTTGTACCCAGGATATTTCTACCCCGATCCCACTTAAAATGGGAAATCAGGGTATAATGGTTTTTTAAATGTATGTAAGAGGTAAAAGGAGACGTGGCAGACGTGGGAAAGCTCTAGTCGGGTTGCCCGACTAGGATATACCCTGATCCCAGGTCAATCTGCGTTTTTTAATATCTTCAATTTTTGAGTGTTCACAAAAAAACTAATAAAAATCGACATTACGACACCAAGATTCGAACCCATAATCTCTACGCAACACGCGTCAACTCTACTAACACCGCCACTTCTTAATTAACAAATAAAAAGCAAAAAAAAACACTTACGAGCGCCGCCTATTCCAATACCGCCACTGTACTCTTCTTACAATAAGTTGAAAATTTGAGCTTTAATAGCAGCTTTGGAGGGTCTAGCTTTTAAGACGAGATATATTTAATTGAATAATATCACTTCGATCCTGTTTTTAATTGATAACGTTGGGGGAATCGTTATCGATAATT